TAAGTAGGACCAAGTTCTCTTTTATTTTTTAAATACATTTTTATTGATTTCAGAGAGGAAGGGAGAGGGAGAGAGAGATAGAAACATCAATGATGAGAGTGAACCATTGATTGGCTTCCTCCTGCATGCCCCCAATTGGGGATCACGCCTGCAACCCAGGCATGTGCCCCTGACCGGAATTGAACCTGGGACCTTTCAGTCTGCAGGTCGACACTCTATCCACTAAGCCAAACCAGCTAAGGCCCAAGTTGTCTTTTATATCTATTTCTGAGGAATAAAAACCACTGGTACTTTCTACAGGGTTTGACAGTTGGAGGCATGAGGCTGAAGTTTTTTTTAGAGGGAATCCAAATGTCTTAAATGACATCTGACAATCCATTTGATTTTCTTCTGTCTCAAAAATCAAAATCACTCAACATCCAAAAATTGTTTATTGAGCCCAGCCAGCATGGCTCAATGGTTGAGCATCTACCTGTGAACCAGGAGGTCATGGTTCGATTCCTGGTCAGGACACATGCCCTGGTTGTGGGCTCAATCCCCAGTGTTGGGCATGCAGGAAGCAGCTGATCAATGATTCTCTCTCATCATTGATGTTTCTGTCTCTCTTCCTCTCCCTTCCTCTCTGAAATCAATAAAAAAATATATTTTTAAAAAGTTAAAAACAAAATTATTTATTGAGTTTCTATCTTCATTTATTCAATAAATGCTCAGTACATACCTACTAGTACTAGGTGAACCAAACAGTCTGGATCCTTACCTACGTGGGTTGGCTATATAGTGAGAGAGAGAAAGAGACAGTAAACAAATAAATACACAAATAAGTATATAATTGCAAATTGTTAACGCGACTTATTTCTATTCATGTATTTACACAACCATCAATTCAATGAGAAGGCATAAGAAATAGTACGGAACAGCTTTGGAATGAGAAGGCCTCTCTGAGCCCTGAAGGATGAGTGGCCTGTGAAAGAGAGTGGGAAAACTTAGACAAGGAGGAGGTCGAGGCAGACACATGTTTTATGTTTTGCTCCTTGCTGCAAGCAGATGGTTAAACTTGACTAGAACCTGGTGGGAGAAAAGGACTTGGAAAAGAAAGATCTGAGTTCAAATCCTGATTTTGTCATTTTATAGTTGAGTGACCTTGGGCAAGTTACTTGAAACTTTCGGTTACCTCATCTATAAACTGGAGACGATAACATTTCCGATTTTATAGAATTGCTATAAAAATTAAATAAAGTAATGTTCTAAAGTGCTTATCAATGCTTGGCATATGGTAAGTATCAATAAATTACTATTATAGCCATTTTTATTATCCTCAAATGCTCCAAGTTCTATATGACTTCCAGGCTTTGGCACAATTTGCTCCCTTTGTCTGGATCACACCCTGTTCCCTATATTCACTTAAACTTATCTTTCAAGTAATGTTGGAATGTATTTCCCAAGAAGGACTTTCCTGACTCCTAAATCAGTGGCTCTCAAACTTTACATGTAAGAGTCACTGTGTGTGTGTGTGTGTGTGTGTGTGTGTGTGTGTTTTGACAAAATACCATGGCAATATAAGATGATAACATTAGGAGAAACTGAAAATGAATGAGAGTTATACAGGAACTCTCTGTACTATCTTTGTAACTTTTCTGCAAATCTAAAAATTGTTCCAAAATAAAAGTTTATTTTTTAAAAAAGCAGATTCCTATGCAGATCAAAACCACAGTGAGATATCAGCTCACACTATTAATAAACAAACAAAAAACCCAGAGCCCTACCCAGTTTGGCTCGTGGATAAAGCATCAGCCCAGGTTTGATTCTGGTTAAGGGCATGTACCTCAGTTGCAGGCAATCTCTGGCCTTGGTCAGGGCTTGTGTAGGAGGCAACCAATCTATGTGTCTCTCTCACATCAATGTTTCTCTCTGTGTGTCTCTCCCCCTTCCTTCTACTCCCTCTAAAAATCAATGGAAAGATATCCTTAGGTGAGGATTAAAAAAAGAACCCACCAAAAAATAACAAGTGTTGGCAAGCATACAGAAGGTGCTACAACATGGATGAAACTTGAGGACATTATGCTGAGTGAAATAAGCAAGTCACAAAACAACACTTACATGGGGTATCTGTGTATGTTACATGCCATTGAGCTGACTCTAACTCCTGGTGATCCTATGAATGGGTGATGTCCATAATGTCCTGTCCTCAATAGCCCGGCTCAGCTCCTGAAGACTCATGGGACCAATCCACCTCATATTTGGTCTTCCTCTTTTCCTTCCCCAGCATTACTGTCTTTTCTGGAGAATACTGCCCTCTCGGAATGTGTCTGAAGTAGGACAACTTCAGTTTTTGTCACTTTTGCCTCTGGCGATGTTTCAGGCTCCATTTGCTCTGGGACCCACTTGTTCATCTTTCTGTCAGTCCTGGTTATCTGTAGAGCTCTCCTCCAGCACCATAGTTCAAAGGAAGTATCTAGAGCGGTCAGATTCATACAAACTGAAAGTAGAATGGTGGGTTTCAGGGGAAACAGGGAGCTGTTGTTCCATGGGTATAGCGTTTCAGCTTTGCAAGATAAAAAGTTCTGGATATTGGTTGTAAAACAATGTGAATATACTTAACACCATTGAACTGTGCAGTTAAAATGGGTAAGATGATAAATTTCGTGTTATGTGTACTTCTGTTTCTTAAAACAGAATATTTCTGGGCCCTACCTTTAGACCTTTGACAGTGCAGAAATGAAAAAGCTGATCCTGAAAATGCATATAGATTTATAAGGGACTCAGACTAGCCAAAACAATCTTGAAAAAGAATAACAAAGTTGGTGGACTCGCATTTTCTGATTTCGAAACTTACTCCAAATCTACAGTAATCAAAATAGCGTGATACGAGCATAAAGATAGGCATATAGATCAATGGAATAGAATTGGGAGTCCAAAGGAGAACTCATATATCTGTGGTCAGTTGATATTCAACAGGCATGCTAAGACCATTCAATGGGAACAGAATACTCTTCAACAAATAGTAGAACAACTGGATATCCACATGCTGAAGAAGAAGGAGAAGGAGAAGGAGAAGGAGAAGGAGAAGGAGAAGGAGAAGGAGAAGGGCGTAAAGGGAAAGCAGAGTGGAAGGGGAAGAAGAAAATTGAATCCCTACCTCAAACTGTATATAAAAATTAACTCAATGTGGATCAAAGACCTAAATGTAAGAGATAAAACTATAAATCTCTTAGAAAAAAATAAGGGTAAATCTTCATGACCATAGCTTTCACAATGGTTTCTTAAATATGACACCAAAAGCACAAGAAACAAAAGAAAAAAATGAATAAATTGGACTTCACCAAAATTAAAAACTTGTATATCAAAGGACACCATCAAGAAAGTAAAAAACACTTTTCTTTCTTTCTTTCTTTCTTTCTTTCTTTCTTTCTTTGCAAATTGCATATCCAAAAAGATTCTGATATCCAGAATATATAAAGAACCCTTGCAACTCAATGACAAAAAACATATAACACCATTGAAAACTAGGTAAAGGACTTGGCTAGACATTTCTCCAAAAAAGAGATGCAAATAGCCAATAAGTACATGAAAAGATACCCAACTTCATAGTCATTAGGAAATGCAAATCAGAACCACCATGAGATACCACTTTACACCCACTCAAATGGCTATGATAAAATTTTTAAAAGGAAAACAACAAGTGTTGGCCAAGATGTGGCAACATTGGAGCCCTTGCACATTCCTAATCAGCATGTAAAATAAAACGGTGCAGCCACTGTGGAAAACAATTTGATAGCTCCTTAAAAAGTTAAACAAAATTACCTTATGACTCAGCAATTCCACTCCTAGGTATATACCCAAGAGAACTGAGAACAAGTACTCAAAGAAATACTTGTGCATGAATATTCATAGCAGCAATATTAGCAATGGCCAAAAGGTGGAAACAACCCAACTCTCTGTTGATGGAGGAATAGGTAAACAAAATGTGATACAATAATGGAATATTATCCATTAATAAGAAGAAATGAAGTACTGATGTATGCTACAACATATAGGAATGCACCTCAAAAACATTATGTGAAGGAAAAGAAGGCAGACACAAAAGGTCATATATGATTACATTCATATGAAATGTCCAGGACAGGTGAATCCAGAGAGACAGGAGGCAGGTTAGTGGTTGCCAAGAGGTAAGTTAGGGGGAGTGACTGCTTGATGGGTATGTGTTTTCTTTTTGAGGTGATGAAAATGTTTTGGAACAAAAGGGTGTCCCAAAATTCACGCAAGAAGTGATTTTGATAGAAAACACAGGTTTATAATTAAAAATTGTAAATTTGTTATTGATTCATACAGTATATAGTCTAGGGTTATATATGGAATAGCATATCGGGTAAATGGCCTCCACGGCTTTGCTGGCACATACGCACTCTTTTGTTGAAATTTTCCATGACCGTTTTGCATAAATGTGGCTGAATTTCGATGAGGCTCATTTTCATCTTTATCA